GATAATGCCTTTCATTTCAATATCATTTCATCAGCGTTGTAATTGTAAACTCAAACACCTTTCGACCGCTACACCTTCTAGAGTTCTTGAGGATGAATGGGATGCTCGAATAAATATGATAATGAATACTGGGCATTCCGTTTTGAGATATTCGACCGCTAAATTACCTCGATACTCGACGCATAGTGGTTGTTTACATCATCACTTTAGCTGTGCACTTCACTGCGCTTATCAAACAGTGAGATACAGCCAAGATGGGCAGCTATGCAACGGACAGTAATACATTTAACGAAGCAGCTATAATTTAGCGGTGAAACCTAAAGCTTCATCGATTGTCAGTTCTATCAATGCGCGCGGTAGCGGGCGGAGCTAAACTGGTATCCAATATCCGGCTTCATCAATACTATCAATATCCAGGCGACAACCAATATCAACATCCAATATTCGGACGGCAGATTTAATCGTTAGTGTTCGGTTAGATTAATAAATATTTAGACTAAGCCGTGCACTGTAGCACTTCAGAGGTTCAATTCCGCGTGGCAACTCGTAGAAGAGTCTTGGCGAGCAACCTCATCACACAATACCGGATACATATCATCACCACTCATCCACCAAGGACCCGGCTGATGACGAAATTTTAATTTCTTTAATTCGCATTTCACATTAGCGCCTGTTAAATGACTCCAAATGTTGCCGCCGATAAAAATAGGTACTGTTCTTACAATCAGGGTCATCATCAACCTTTCTGATTAGCTTTCTGCCCAGAATTGGGGCGAAAATTGTATGGCGCTAAAGCGGCGCCGAGTTGGTGCCCGAGGAGGCTAAAATGGCGCAATATCGCGCCTCCATCAAAAATGGACGTCAGATTCGTAATCAGCGCCTATAATTACCCTTATAGCCGCAGTTTTAGAGAAAATCAAGATTTTGGCCCGAATTCAAAAATTGGGCCATGGGTAAGCCCATAGTCAGTACGGCATGCACGCTTCCCACTTGGAGACACAGCTTCGAGATGATAGCAAGCGGCACGTTTGGTTGATAGTTACACTTCCACCGCAGTTCCTGCCCATGGGGCAATCTGGCATCACCCCTTGATCTCGTCGATGCATGGCGTATGCCTGGGTGGGCACTGGCTACGTCGACGAGCATCCTGGACATTCCTCAACGCCGGCAATCTGCCTTCAAGGGAAATGGAGTAGGTGTTCCTTGCGAAGAAAATGACAACTGCACTTTTCTGGCGTTCGTTAGATGCAGTTGGTGTGATCCGCGCCTGTGATTCAGATGCTTCATTGAGTTTTACCATAACTGCTAGTTATTTATTGCTTGTAAACGGAATTTCGTACACAACTGAAAAACATGGTACTACGAAATATCGCAGAATTGTGGGAGAAAGTTCTTGGAAATGACACCTATAGGCTTTAAGTTCACGCGCAAGCACATGCGAAATGCAAAAAAGTGATAATCGGAAAAATGCAAAAAATTCGAGCATGGAGGGGAACCGAACCAATCCCCGAACAAACCGTGCCAACCAGAGTCCATCACGCTACGACCATCCGACCGCCGGTGGCAAGTGGATGTCGACAACTCTGATGAAACTTCCTCATGCTTTTGAGCACTTATTATGTTCAATTTTTGTTTTTGGCTTTATTCCACGTTGTTTTCAATGTCCACGGTGAAGAAACCCTTCTATTGTGCGTCCACTTAACATACGAGTGATATAAACCACGTTGAAGGTGTGAAAACTCCGATTTCTGAAGAAATTTTTTCACTCCTTTTTTGGCATTCAGAGGGCCGCTCAGAAAAAATGGAGCCTAGTTTTGCATGTACCCCTTTCTTATGCAAGAAACCATTATCAAAAAGCGCTCCATGTCCTGAAATGCTTCCCTGGTAAGATAACTTGGAGTTAGAGGCATGAGGTGGTCAACGATTGCAGTGTTGGATGTGGCCGCATCTTCCTCAATTGCTTTCAGCAGCCTTTTTGAACTTCTTTCACTTTTGCTTACTTTATTTGTTCGGCCGCTCTTGTTGGTTGCTTTTTGCATCGCTGACACCTGCTAAGGAAGCGAGGTCTGGCGCTTCCAAGAGGAAAGGTGCGCTGGCTGTTAAGTAAGGACTTCGAAAGCGCTCCGCCCCCAAAATCCGCCCACCAGTTTAGTTGATGATTTGGACGAGCTGCGTTGCCAGCAGCGACGCACTAGAAGCAACTTGATTGGGGCGTGCTTTGACATGGTACCACCAAACGCAATACGCTGAACTCGTTCATACGTGAATCCTTGTAATATAGAACCATATATCCATCTGAATCCTTGTAGAACCTATCGTAATCGCTGCCTTTACGTATATAGTAGGGGTAGAACAGACATATTTGGTGGTTGACAAAAGTGATAATCATTAATAAGAGCTGATAAGGAGCGTTAGAACGCAAATTTCACGAATCTGACAGCGCACGGCTCAGTAACAGAGAGGCGTTATCCTTGGGGTATGTTGCGAAGGGTGGTATGGGTACATATTCGGTGGGTAACAGAAAGTGATAACCTTGATACAGAAAGTGATAACCTTGATGAACTGATAACACGTGTTCTGGTAGCAGTGAGACGTTGTCCTTGGGGAATGTTCTGGAGGGTGGTACGGGAAGACATTTGCTGGGTCACAAAAAGTGATAACAACTGATAGATTGATATAAGCGCTCAGTTCAGAAACACAGGGGTCACCAAAGTTGTTAATCAGTAATCGTAATCCCGAGTAATCGTATGCGTTGTCCGGAGCACTTTCGGCCACTAGGTCACGTTAGCTTCCGAAAAATGTTAGATCTTCGTGGGATTGAGAGGTACGGAGAATGATTGCGTTATCACCAGCACTGTAGCAACCTTTTGCTAGTAGCAGCAGTCAGATCCATTAATGCTGTCTAATGCAGGAGCCCTGCTATTCAGTTGCATTGAAGTCCACTTTAACATGCGCGCGGCGGCGAGCGTAGCTAAACTGGTATTTTATAATATATCATGTTTTATCGCACTTCCTCGTTTTCTGCTGCGCTACACCCTCTCACTCCTATCTGCACCACGATGCCACTGATGTTACTGACCCCCACGAGTACGACCCCCACCAAAACCCAATCTAACAAATACGACCCATTGTCGAGAATTTCCTCGACCATCATCCTGCCTTAAAGCCACGAGTCAGGATTAGGCAACCAGCAGAAGTTCTTCCCAGGGTGCGATAGTGGGCTCCCCAAGCACTGAGGGCGACACTATCGCGACCCAAAAGTGCGCGGCAATGGCGCTAAGGCCTTGCCCGCCGCGCTGCCCGCGCTGCCAGCGTAATCCACCACGGCATACGTGGTCTCAGCATAAAGGCAGGGATAGCCGAGTGGTTAAGAGGTTAGACTCATGTCTGCACCTCTGAAAAACCGCGAGTTCGATCCCTGCCGAGGCTAAACCATGCCTTGCAAAAATTGCAAAAATGGTTCTAGTACCAGCGTCAGGCCCAGGTTGACAGGCCGGCTGATGAAGACCCCAGTCACACCAAACATGTCTAAAGTCGCAAAGAATC